CGCTCCGCTCAGATAGTCGTGCCTCAACCTTTAAAAACCCTGGCTACGCCCCTGATATCATATATGATATACGTGCTCTGGATAATCCTCTGGATATATACAACTCATAAAAATAATATACTAGTTAGACTCTATATATTTCTATGATATAAGCACATGGGCTTGTATATAGCTATGAAGAAACAGAGAAAACAATAACTTTCTTTTTATTATCACTGAGTATTTTATCCTTCTGTAGGACCTACTTCTACTTTCTTAAGACCTGTGGGCGCTCGTGTGCACACGCACGCACGTGCACGTACACACGCACGGACACACGCGCACGGACACACGTGTACGTCCACACGCACGCACGCACGCACGCACGAACATGTACGTACCCATGCACACATGCACGCACGTGTACGTACACACGCACGTGTACGGGCACACGCACGCACGCACGTACACACGCACGGACACACGTGTACGTCCACACGCACGCACGCACGCACGCACGCACGTGTACGTGCGCAGGCGAAGACTGTATAGCATCACAACGACACAGATGCATGCGTATGTGTACTGTGCGGTCGAAATACGAAATGTTTTTCACAAATGACCTAACCCGGAAGAATTCGTGGCAAAATTCGCGCATACGCAGACTGTGATTACGAACTCGCTTATTGCGCCCGCCCGATTTAACCCAGAACGTCGCCCACCGCGTTATGCGTTGGATCGACAGCGCCGGCACTTGAACAGTTTCAATAATAAAATTATTATAAATAAACACAAATTGTATTTACTACGAATCGGCTAATGATCCCGCGTCAATGCCGTTAAAATCGTAGACACGTGAAGTGTTTGAATAATAAAATGATAGTTAATAAACACGAAATGTATTTACTACACAAGTCTATACAATGTTTATGTATTTTCTATCGAATAATAATTCCACGTAAACGTCATCCAAATGCTCCTCTGCAACACACAATTTCACCACACGCACGTCACTGTGCACAAACTCACAGAAAGAGAGAGCACTCTGTGTAGATGACAGCAACTGTATGACAGTAACCCCGATCCCGCCAATAACAACGTGATGGTGTAATGAGAAACTTAGCAACAGTCTAGGTATTTTTCAGCACGCTCATCAGACAGTTACTTACTGGGTTAGGCCATAGGTATATACAAACACATGTGTTTGTATATATCTATAGTTAGGCGGGGTCACCAAGAGCGAGCGTGATGCGCCCGAGCACATATATCATGATATGTTCATTTTGGATAATAACAATTACAAAAGATCAATGAAAAATTATTAACATGGCATTGTGCAGTATCCATACAGAACAAACGTACTTTAAAGGCAGCGGTTTGTAACTACAACAACAACAAGATATCCGTGTGCAAATTATTAGTCTGAAATTCTGCGGCATGCATTTAGGATAATAGTAATTCAGGTCCTTAGCGAGCATTCCAGGACGGGAGAGACTTTTTTCATCAGAACAACAACAACGCCTAACAATGTATTATATATTTCTGACAAATTTTAATTTCATTTTGTAGCGCCCCGTCCTCTTGAACCCGCCTCATACCCTTCCCAGACATGAAGACCCCTTCCCATCGAACACGCCTTGAACGAGGCGGGCATCTGCATTTGACCACTGTCTGCAAGGGGAGGAACGTGAATAATATTCCCACACCACGATTAAGATCTAGATAGTGTAGACAGCCACACGTGACACGCGTGGGTCTTTAACATCCAGCCACACGCGTGTGTCTAACTGTCTATAGCGTGTGTGTATTTATCTGCTTCAAACGTCCAAATTACGAGTGCAGTGTCTCTGTCCCATGCGCGATTCTTCCCAGATGGTACGGGCATGCATGTCCTGTACTTGTACATGTATATGTCCCCCTCCATCCAGCTACTTGTGTATTTGTCCGCAAATGCAGACGTTATAACTCCGCTTTGCTAATCTGAGGGTGCGGGTTTACTGGGGTCTGCGTCGGCTCGGACTACTTGTGTATATGCGCGCAATATGAATATGTGCGGGTGTACACGCGTGTGCATGTGTAGTGTGTAGTATGATTTGTGTTACTGTTGCATATTACTATTGCATTATTAGTGGTATTTTGGTATTATCGTCGTCGCGATCCTAGAGTCGCTATAAACACACGCGTGTGGCTGGATGGTAAAGACACACGCGTGTGGCTGGATGGTAAAGACACACGCGTGTGGCTGGATGGTAAAGACACACGCGTGTGGCTGGATGGTAAAGACACACGCGTGTGGCTGGATGGTAAAGACACACGCGTGTGGCTGGATGGTAAAGACACACGCGTGTGGCTGGATGGTAAAGACACACGCGTGTGGCTGGATGGTAAAGACACACGCGTGTGGCTGGATGGTAAAGACACATGCGTGTGACTGGATGGTAAAGACACACGCGTGTGGCTGGATGGTAAAGACACACGCGTGTGACTGGATGGTAAGATGGTAAAGACACACGCGTGTGACTGGATGGTAAAGACACACGCGTGTGGCTGGATGGTAAAGACACACGCGTGTGGCTGTATACACTGCCTAAAATCGGTAGCTACAAACGTTATGTGACTCCTGTTATAGCTAAATTCTGGCCCTTATTTTATTATTAGTGGACCATTTGGCAATGGACTCGCGAAAAGAAAGACTTGAAGGAAGAAAATGCAAAAAAATATATAGGAAGAACATAGATGGCGCTCTATTTAACTGTAAACATGTCAGCGGCATTTGATAACAGCGAGCATCAGAATGAAAATTATTGCGTCGTTTTGGCTAGTAGACCAGGTGAAACAAACCATTTCAATTAAGAATTGATTTAGGATTAAAATATATTGTATTTTATGTCATATATGTCATCAAAATACTAGAAGATATACTGGTGGGCGCAGTGCATCTGCAGGGTCCCAAACTATCGCTGATACTCATACTGATACTGATAGTAGTGATACTGATAGTGATAGGGTCTATGTCCTCCAGGGTACTGCCGGAACGTACCCGTGGGTAC